CTAGAAATCTAGGGTCGTTACAGAGAAAACACTCCAAAAACAAGTACCAAGAAAAGAGCACAACACAAACCCTGAAATCACCAAGTCTTAAAAACATGAAGACGTGAAATATTATAAGGAATTAATGTATGCAAGAACATGTTTGAGGGTATGAACCAAGACTCGAGTAGTAACAAATGAAAATATCCCTAATGACCTCCTTACAGGAATTCTTGAAGTTTCCATGAACCTTAAAAAGTTTTATTATGACATATATGATGTTATGTTGACTTATTCTTATGAGGATGATATAAAGGCTTACTTTAGAATCATGAACTTTAGGCATACAATAAAGTTAAGGTGTGTTAAAAGTAAAGAATACTACCCTGAGGTTGTGAACAATTCAAGAGCATTAGTACCTTACCCCCTGTATGCATGCTAGAAAATACTCTAATCATGCCCTAAGTGACCTATGTCTCCCACCACGTCATGTATCACGAGACCTATGTATCCTTTTTTTTTTTTGTGGGATGCACTGCTCCATGTTGTCCTAGCAGTATGTCATGTTTCGACCTCATGTTTTTTCTCACCTAGATGAGATGCACTATGCCATGTTTTACTAATCGGATATCACATTCATGTTTAGCACTGATCATGCGACCTTCTTGGTTTTTCATAGAAAGTGATCAAGGGCCACATTAGGGATAACTACCGAGTCAACTAAATCTCATGATACAAGAAACTAAGATAAGTCCTTGGTTAGCATAAGAGTGTACATTTTCCTAGCCATGAATCAAGAATATCCTCGTGAGAATCTATGAATTTCAAAAAGTAAAATAGTGACATGATGCTCCAAAAATACCCATGCATGAAATGTTAAAAGGCTTAAAAACCTCATATCATAACTCATTCTCTTCTAGGAAGAATCCATAGAGCCCAAACCTAAGATCTCACGAACTTAAAGTAATACTCTACGGTCATGGTTTATGTCAAAAAGGATAGAATTCAAGAATGCCAAGTCTAAGTTTACCACGATAGCTTTAAACTACCTAAGTCCTTCTATGGTACTTTATGATCACGTGACCATGTCACAGGAGACGTAGAGGATTTTTTAGGCGAATAGTTATATGCCGAATCCAAATCTTGATTTTCTTTCATATATAAATTTTTCGGGATCATGAGTATTAAGGGGAGGGTTGAAAGGATAAGAATCAAGTATCAATGACAAGAACATGAACAAGGATCAAGATCCAAGTTCTTAGACCTATGACCCAGAACCTCAAAATTAAGGCGTTTAGATCAGAACTAAGGTTAAGAACTCAGAGTCCATGACCAAGATCCTTGGCTAGACCATGACAAGAACTCAAGAATAAAACCTAAGGGCCAAAGTTTTTAAGATAAGAACAAGAATGTTATAAGAAATAGTTTTTTACCCTAACCTACCTTAAGCACATTATTAAGATCCTATATATAGACTACTTATTAATTATTTGTACTCATTCTTATTCTCTTATATTTTTTAGGTGACAAAGAATGAGCGGGTGAGGATGGAATAAATCTAAAATAGGTGTCAGATATAGACACACCGTTTTTCAACTGTTTTAATGTTAAGTTATTTTGTTTATTGGGTCCAATGTATGCAAACTTTACTTTGTATATAAAATGTATGTTTTCTTTTAAATATGAATTTTTTTTCTATCTGTCCTTTCATATTTTCAAACTTTTAATAAGCTATGCTTGTACATGTATGGAAGCATGTTATAAGAAGTATGTTATAAAAGTTTAGTGGCTAAAATGAGTTATTCTAATTGATGTAAAAGCATGCTGACCATGCTCGATTTTTATGAAAATGACAAAACGACTCAAAATTTAATGAAACTTAGAATATGACTATGTATCCATGTCTAGATTACAATGCTATATCCCTCTTATTATATGTTCATGCATGAGATAGTTATGATGTTATACGAGGACAATTAGGAATTTTCCAACTAATCTCTAATCGTGAACTAGGCTCAGATGTTGAGAGTCTGGTTAAAATTTTAGGACTGATTATGATTTATTTGTACTATGTGGAGACTACTAGGAGTTTTCAGTTAATTTTCTTTTAGCGAACCTACTTGGCCAATAAAGGTCACAAGCTTCTTAGGATGATTACATTTATAAGTCGGTAGAACTATAGTTGGACCCTAAAAATGACTGAACCCTATGAAAACTTTATGAGTACCTTGTAATGTGGCTAGGGAGTCTCCAACCACTCCCTAATCATGATCTGGTTGGATGAGAGTAAGAGACCACATAGGTAGATGAGTGTTGGCTAGATTGAGGGTCACAACCTCTTTTATGATGATTACATTATGGAGCCTACTAGTAGAAAATTCTTGAGAATAGTGCCAACACAGTGTGATGAGAACTATGAGTTGAAAAACAACACTAGAGTGTTGCCTTGAAAACCTACTATACATGTATCTATGACGATGACGACGATGACGACGATGATAACGGTGAAATAAACTAATAGAATAATCTAACTAAGATAGAATGATCCATGTGAGAAAGATGAGCTGAAAGATCTAAACCCCGGGAACTAATGACTCAAATTGGGCCAAGGTGAAAAGAACCTGGATAGTTTCTGCCCTTTTTCCCTAAATTGAGCTGGGGTGAATAAGTAGAATTAGGAGATACCTAGAAAAACTTATAACTTAGGAACAAACTTCTAAATATTGCACGGAATGAATGAACGGATGAATCAATAAAGATAAAACTTAAGATCGAACTAAGAAAACTAAAAATGAAGTTACTTACGAAATATTTTTTTATGCAATCATGCTACTCTAATTTTTCAGATGAAAGCTAGATGGAGCAATCGAGATGGGGGTGTACACGAGCTACGGGGCTTTGAGGATTGAGATAGATTGGTGGCTTGATTTCTGAGACGTTATGTTTTGCTTTATTTTTTATTTATGTACTTTGTCATCTTTATTTTGTAAATTGTGTCGCTAACATATTTGAAATAAGTTATATCAAATGCATAGATGTTTTCAAAAAAAAAAAAAAAACAAAGTGACACGCATGTCAACGATGAGTTTCTCAACCTTCTCTTTAACGAATTTGAAACGGCTATTTTCATCAGCTTTATTATTTTGACTTACATTGAGGAATTTTAGAGAAATATGGAATATCCTCGAAGACATGAAACAAGCTTAAGAAGTCTACAATTAAGTAAGTAGCCGTCTGGAGCAAGTTTCTAAAAAAATGCTTGTGGGAGTCGATTTGGATTGAGGGCAATGATTTAGTATTATTTTTAGGAGCTTAGTTAATCTAGTTTCATGAGAATTATACTTAGACGATGTGAATAGTTTACCACTTAATTATATTTACCGTCATATAGTTTCTACATGCATGATCTTGTGATCTCTAATAGAAAGTTGGATTTATATGCTTCCTAGTATGTTGAGTTGGATTATTATCACTTAATAAGCATGATAAGCATGTTGTATGCCTTTATTCGTTGTTATGCATTGATTTAGGGTTGGATAGACCATTATTTCCTAGTTATGAGCTAGATCAATTGTTATGTGCTATAGAGTGCTAATTATACTTTCCATAGACTATTAGTTACTATTTTACATATTTTGGTCCTAGAACCTAGTCACGAGTTCCATATCCTCCTTGAGTTGACCAGGTACCTTGTAAGGACGGATAGGATGCAACCCTTGTTCATGAACTAACCAAAAGAGGTTAGGGTCTACTTGTTACACATGACTTAGTTGTCACCCAAAGAGGATATTAGTAGCCATTAAAAGAATACTATTGGTTCATATTGGTGGTGTCTAGTGGAGAGTCATGGTCTTTTTACTAATCCAGCCTGAGTGACATAGGATAGGTAGTTTACTGTTCTAGCCTGAAAAGGCAAAGTAATAAGTAGTTACTAATCCTAAGACAGGTAGTTTTACTTTTCTAACCCGATGAGGGTACATGACAGGTAGTTTTACTGTTCTAACCCGATGAGGGTACATGAGTAGGTAGTTTACTGTCCTATCCGAAAAGGGCATAGTGACAGGCAGTTTTACAGTTCTAACATGGCATAGTGACAGATAGTTTTACTGTTCTAACTCGATGTGGTACATGAGCAGGTAGTTAGTGTTCGAGCCTGGAATTGGCTAATGATAAGTAGTATAATAATTTTAGGAACAAGTAGATGTTGCTCGACACCATTAGGGAGAATCCACCAATTTGAACTCAGTAGGTAGATAAGTATGGAGTATGGTCACCGTTTATAGCAAAAAGGGCTCCTCCATACCAACAAATATTATCTTAGGGTTTTTTCATGGCCCACAATGACTCGAGGTGCTCCTCGCACAAGATCGATGAAGGACCTAGACATACATGACACCTAGAGCGCTTCTTGCGCAAGATCAATGAAGGACCTAGACATACGTGAACCTAAAACCAAAAGAACAAAAAAGCCTCCAAGTTGTGAATCTAAAAGGGATTGAGTACTCCTTGAAGGAAGTATTCCCAAATTAGTTGTACAACGACCTGCCAAGCTTGATATAGCAATTTGGATCGAGTCTTCTTCTTTCTCGTCATTTTTACTATTATTTTGATTTGACTCCACCGATGTTACCTTTAACCTACTTTTTTATCGATTTTGAAGGAATATACATGACATGTGATTCGAAGGTATCAAAAATGGTTACAATGTTCCCATGTCTGGACAGCAAAGCAACGTTTTTCAATTTTAAATTCTTGGGAGTAGTTAAACCTCCTTTTTCTGTTTATGATTACTTAAATCTACGATAATTTTGAAGGTTAAATGCTTTTAAGTATATTTTGCTTGAATCAACTATGAAGTGTATGTAGTAAACAAAGGATATATACACCAGATTCAAACATACGAAGTTTCGTCCTCTGTATCACAGGAAGGAAGAAACAACATTTCCTGCCTTATCTGGGAGCTCAAACCAACTTAAAAAACAATTCAAAACATTCATAAAGTAAAGATGGATGGATCTTTTTAAGATGAATCGAATTCGAAACTCATGTATTTCTAACTATAACCATTCAAAATACAATTCTACATCGATCGAACTAGTCTTTTCTCTAGTTCTTAATATTAGAAACTCGTGTTTCCGCTACCCTTTCTATACATAATCTCAATCTCTAATATCAAAACAAAGCTTGGCCTCATCCCAGGGACCATTGATCTCAAACTTGAATTCCTGAATTCGTATAAGCCAATAAGGACAAACTACTGTAACAAAAATCAATAGACTTGCCAACAATATGAAAAACAACTGATGTAGGAAATAAACATACACCAAGGTGACTGTCATCAAACAGAGAGAGAATAAGAGATGCAGATGAACAGAGTACTTCTTAATAGAGTAAGTAACCAAAGGGGCAAAAAGGAAAATTTGTAAGGAGAATAACATTATGGCGAACACGTGTAACCGAGATGGAAGACGTGAAGCGATAAGAACAGAGGCCACAATAGAAGCATTTAAAGAAATGCAACTGGTTAAGCTTGGGTTCTTAAGATTACCAGGAGCTCTAACAGTGGAACCTGAGTAGTCATGTAGGAAGAGATGGAGGATAATAAGTGAAACAGTCAATGCCCAAATGGAATCTGAACTAATGGATTTAGTAAGAGTTTGGTAGATGGGAGCCAAGACATACAACCCAGTTGTGAAAAATGATATATTGAGAAAATAGTGGAGGAGAAGGTTCAATGAGAGTGTTTCTTCAGTGAAAAGAAGAATTAGAAATCCAGAAGCTAGAAGACTAATGTCAAGAAATAAGAGGGAATTCTCGTCGAGAGTCGATCTAAGTGTGTATGTCCAAACCAGACCGACAAGGGCGACGATGCATAGATATTCAGAAATGGAAACAGAGTCCAACATCACCTTTAGGATATCTCTCTTGACGACATTGGCATTCATGACGATATCTTCAAGAAAAGACTCGTCGGTGTGGTTGTCATCGAACCCGGGTTGCATACCTCCATATGCCACTTTTCTCCACTTAGGTTGAGTGTTATAGCTGCCTTCATTGGTGCTAGAATCCATTGCAAACCAAATGACCTGCTAATATTATGAGTGTTTGAATTACAGTTTCAAAAAACAAATGAAAGTACAATCCCATAAACTAAAACATCAGCTGCCATAAGATATTCAATGGTGTTTAAGATCCAGATCATGTTTTCTTTAGTCAATGCGAATTGGAGATGTTTTTTTCTTAACTCTTTTGGCCTTTTATCGACTCCTTGTCGCATATATTTTATATGATCAATGGAATATGCTTCTTATCAAAAAGTAAATCCAATATTAACTACCATTTGTGTGCAACTAGTCTCAAAATACTTCAATGTAGAAAACCATATCTAAACGGGTTTCTGCAGGGCATGAAGCCAAACGATCAACCTTTAAAATTTCGGTCCCATGAGTTCCCAAAGTCTAACTCCTTTCTTAGCACCCTACACAGAGGAAGATATCCTCTCATTTGATTCCCTCCCCAGCCTAGCTATTCATGGCAGCGAAGGCCACAATGGGCACAAACCACATGAATTAATGAGATAAGCGAACAAAAGCTTGGGCATTTGATATGAATCCAACCATTAATATTTGCATATACCCGAAAGAGCGATTCCAAGAAGCAGAGTAAAGAAGATGACCTTTACATTACATCTTCAAAGTCTCGCTAATGTAAGTTGAAACAAAGATTTATTTAGTATATCAAATCTTTATAATATTAGTATATCAAATCAAGAAAAGAATAAACTTGACATTGAGGAGTGATTTGAAGACTTTGTCTTTGGTAGTTGAACTACCTACCAATCAAGACTATTTATGTCATGTCTTATTTTCTTTTATTTTCTTCCATTTTTATTTAATAGCCTTGACGGGTAGTTAGTAGTTGACCAATATGTTTGGATTATGTTTTTAGAGTTATGTAATATTCAAGTTTAAAAATCATATTTGAATACAAAAATCTTGTGTCTTGATTTCAAATCTTGATTTAGGTTTGAAGTTAAACCGATTTATTGGATTAGTCTTGATCAAACTAATTCTGGGGTGAGTCGTCTCGGGATCTAAGAGTGACCATCATCCTTCTAACTAGCTCTTAGTTGGAATCATTCATTAAGTTAGCTGTGAAGGTTTGCAAGAATCCTAAAAGGACCTCTAGCTTTACAAATTTAGCTATTGTTGGCGCTTATCAGCATTACAATACCATATTAGCATGAGGACCAAAGACACAAGTTACTCAAAGGAAATGCAGGTGTATTCCAACTAATCAAATTTAACACTTAACTTTCAGTGCATAACTTTAAATCGAAATATAAGGAAGTGAGTACTTTAGAGTTAAAAAGTTCAGAGGAATTGATATCATTACTAGATGAATGGGACGCAAGATTACAAAAACTAAATGAAACTTTCTTCCATTGGTACTATATAAAATGCAAAGAGAACTCAGCAAATCAGTAAGATAGATAAACTTCACAATTTACAATAACCAAACATAGTTTTTATCAACCTTAATCGATCCCCTCCTTCACAATTTGCACAATACAGCAATTTATGTTTATAAGAATCTTCAAACAAGTTGTCAAATACGAGCATAGAGAATCATTTCATTCATCACAAACAAAATTGAAACCAGAAAAAGAAAAACAAATTAAGATTTACTCAGCATCCATGAACTTATTTTTTTCAAATATAAAACATCCGTCATTAAGGTAGATGGAACTTAAATCAAACGAGAACCGACTCCAAACCAGTAGCATTCAACAGTTATGAGTGTTTTTGAAGTAAGATTTCAATACTTAATCTGAATCTGGATCAGGCATCGTCAAACACATAAATTAGGCTGAGACAGGACGCTGCAGACCAAACTAGAAAACAAATAGACGTCAAACTTCAAAAAGAAAGAAAATAACCTGTTATTTCTGCTCTCTTTTCAAACATTAACTCCTTCAAACACCGTCTCGTGTGTTCGAGATTGAGGGAGGCCAAGCATTGTTCGTTCAGACAGATCGCAATTGAAGAGGAAGGAAAATGTGGGCTGGTCGAAAGAGGGAAAGATCGGGTTAGAATTGAGATGGACCCTCGACGGAGAGATTGAATCAGGTGGAGGGGCGGCGGAAGAAGACGGGATTGGCGTGAGGTTGCGACGGAGAGAAGAAAAAAAATCACAGCGGCGAGACGGTAGGGGCGTGCACCTGCGGCAAAGATCTGAGGCGGAGAAATGTAAGCTTTAATTTTTTTTTTTTTTTTTTTTTTTAATCCCAAATTTTGATCGGATATTAGACTTTAAATAACAAAATTTCTAACCTTTATTCAATATTTCATTTTACCTACAACAAAATGTAAAAATATTTCCATAAATCTTTATTTTTAATAATATTAAATTTTAAATGTTCACGTTTCGTAATCCAACCCAACCCAAAATTGTTTTACAACCCAATGCTATATTTTCGAATTTGGTTCGATTTCGAGTTGTTAAAAAAAATTAATTTCTCTCTCTCCACTACCGTCTCACAAATTCCTCCTTAAGATGCCTTAGCCACGGTGTATTAGTAATGCATAAAACACATCGAAAGAAAATGAAAGATACGAAAAGTATTGAATTGTTTTAGAGAGTGAATAAACATTACAATAAACATATATTTTCATGTATATAAGTCATTCCAAGAAACATTTTTTCGAGAAGGATCAATAATTATACGAAATAATTACACGTATAAAAATTTTAAATACAAAACAATAGATTGATTTGGGAAAGAAAAAAAAAAGAGAGAGTATATATAGATATTTCTTTACCCTCGATAATTGAACTACAAGGTGGTTGATCTTTGCGGTCATTTTGTTTTAATTGATATCATCGAGATGATTAATCTGAGGTTGAATTGGAACTTGAAGAGAAAATTTAAACGGATACAAAGAATAATCAGTGACTCTAGTCTAGGCCAATCAAGTAACTGTTCTAATATCAGTCTGGTTGGAAGAATTATTTTATGTACGATGACACGTGTCCTATGACCTTGTGATGTGATATTATGAATGTGTCGTTATATAATATGTCAAATGATATAAAGGTATGAACGAAATGTTATGTTATGTCACAATAAACTATGTAATGTATGAGATGCCATGATGCACTATGATTATGTTTTTTTTCAAGTTAAAATAGAACAGTAGTATGCATTGTTTTCAGTTAATAGTTTTATATGTGGCTTTTCATTTTCGTACTCAAAGATTATGTTAAGGTTTTGTTTTTATGATGTTATTTCTATTTCTCGATTTTAACTAAACGTACAAGTCCATGACTTCGTCTAAAATGTTTTTATTTAAAGTTATGCATATATTATTAAAACCCTGCATGAATGATGATGACTGTTGGATGGTCATGGAAGTTGAGATAAGACAAAAGTACGCATTGTTTTCGGTTAGTAGTGACTTTTAATTTTTGTACTCAAAGACTATGTTAGAAATTTAAAATGACGATGTGATAAGTGCCAACAATGCTGAATTTTGCAAAGCTAGAGGTCCTTCTATAATCCTTGCAAACTTTCACTAAAAAAAGCTATTTTAACGAATTGATTCCAACAAAGAGTTGGTTAGAAGATGAATAACTTGGAATCTATGATAGTCACTCTTAGATTCCAAGACGACTCACCCCAGAATTAGTTTGATCAAAACTAATTCAATGTATCGGTTTAAACATCAAACGTAAAACAAGAGTTGAAAAAGAATAACACCAAAGAGGTATCAAGAAAACACAAAGGTTTTGTTTGTATTCAACAATGATTCTCAAGCATGAATATTACATGCCTCTAAATAGGCCAAAAAGATAACCTAAGCTAGTAAATACAAATCGAAAAAATAACACCCGACATAAACTGTTTTAAGACAAAAGTCTTCTAATCACTTTCTAATGTCAAGTGGAGTTTCTTGCTACCCTATTATTTTCTTGATTTGATATGCCAATGCTATAAAATTATTTGGGCACAACCGTCTTTATTTCAATTTGTACCTTAGCTAGCTTTTGAAGATGCAATGTATAGGCCTCTTGAATCTTCTTAGCTTTATTGTAATCGGTCCTTCAGGTATATGCACGATGATATTTTTATTTCTTGTTTGCAACTAAACAAATAAGTCCATGACTTCAACGTTTTATTTTAATTTTTGTATATGTTATTAAAGGCATGTATGTAGTGACATCTCTAATTTAGACAAGAAAATGAGAGGCATCACAAATACAAACTATTCTATAAAATATTTTTGAGACAATTTTAAAAATTCAAACGGATTTTTTGAAACAAAATATGGAGCACGAAAATACGTTTGAACTTTTTTAAACGTTGGAAGGTGTTTTTGACGGTTTTTAAATATTTTACTCAAAATAAAAAAAAAAGAAAAGAAAATGATGAGATTTGTATTTTGAAGGGTCAGGATTTGACGGAAGCACGTGGCAAATCGCGGATGGAAACAGGGGTTGGGAAAAAGGCTTGTGTTTTGTTAAGTTGGAACGAACCCAAAAAGCATTTTAGAGGGAAGGAGGGAGATAAGGATTTCCCAATTTTAATTTTTCCCCCAAAACGGATCAGCGCCACGATCCCACTAGAGGTTGATCCATGGAGGGTGTTGGTGCCCGTCTCGGCCGTTCTTCAACTCGCTACGGACCCGCCACCGTCTTCACTGGCCCCGTCAGGAAGTGGAAGAAGAAATGGGTCCACGTTGCGCCCTCTACCGCCGCTTCCAACAACCATTCTCACTCTCAGCGCCACACCACCCCCACTAATGTAACCACCAATGGCACTGCCAATCCTACTAATAACGCTTCCCATCTTTTGCTTTACAAATGGACGCCTATTTCCCAGAGTCTCAACAATGGCAACAACGATGACAAGAACGCCGGCAAAGATGAGACCCCTACGGTGACGGAGGAGCCTCCTCGCCGGAAATTCAAATACATTCCGGTAACAGCTTTTTATTTTCTACTTCGATTATCTGGGTTTGTTGAATTTGAAATTCTAAATACTTTCCGGTAGATTTGTTGGTTCTAATGGTTTGAAGTTTCAAATGTGTTGGTTTGAATGTGGACCTGTGTCTTGTAGGAGATTTTTCAAGCTACACCTTAGCCACATACTAATTTGCGTATACCCTCCTATTTAGGCGTAACGCTAGGGCTTGCTCCTGTTTGAGCCTTATGGTTGTGAAATGTCTAAAGCGTCCTTTCTCATGGAAAAAAAAGCCTTTCTTCTGAGTGTGATAGATCAATATCTTCCACTTGATCCTTGGAGGATATCTTGGTTATTTTCTCTAGTAAGACAATGGGGTTTTGCATGTTATACTGTAGTATGATATTGCCTAGTTTAGATTTAAGCTTCATAGTTTTGCCTTTTGTTTTACCTTACAATGATTGTTTTGCTTCAATCTCCCTTATGCAACGAAAAAAAGGGAAGATTTAGTTACGATTAGAAAAAATTCTACTTTTATCCATGAATCCCTTATTCCTTATTGATCCAATTCAATAAAATCATGTTTCGTAATTTCGTGATCCTATTTTTCCATTTCGAACTTATTTCTGGATACAAATCACTTATTTCTGGATAGAACTGGGAGTTCCTATTGTAATGCATGACTACTTAACAAGTGGATTCACTGCAAATACTAGCTTGACTCATTATTGCCGAGATAATGGTATTGTAACAATGGAGATCTTGTCATATTTTCCCTACTTCCAACAAGTACAATATCATATTGGAGTCCATAATTATCCTTCCTTTGGACAAAAAACCTTTGAACCTCTCCTGTTTAATCTTATCCAAGTCAAATTTTCTTCTTTGGAGTACTTTTTGTCTGATAGGGCTAAACTGCATATCAAATTGTGGCATAACTGAAGCGCATTGCTCATTGTGGCACCCTTAATAATCCTTCCAGCAAACAAAAGTCTATTGAGGCTCTCTCTTACAATCTTTCTATTAAAGCATGTTGCCTATGCTATTTGGATCACATTGCCAATACAACTGGGGCCTGTAATTTTTGTTGGCCTTCTAAGGATTTATGTACAATTCCATGTAACTATGCTTTTGAGGCTCAACACTTTTTTATTTTGAACTCAAGGATTTTGTTGATAGGACCGAGTTTGGATCATAGCGTTGAAGACGTGTTTTAGGATTTTGAGGCTCAACACTTTATTATTTTGAACTCAAGGGTTTTGTTGATAGGACCAAGTTTGGAGCATAGTTCTGAGGACATGTTTTAAGATAACATGCCTCTACGATTTATATTATAACTTTTGGGTCTAAGTTCACATGATTTTGGAGCATAGTTCTGAGGACATGATTTTGCTTATATAAATGGAAATGTTGTCCTTATTTATATACTAGGAAATTTTACCATTTCTAATTTACGTGAGACTATGTTCACATCCCCAACATTCTCTAATTGCGTGAGTTTGCTCAGCTGATTAAGATATCATAACCTTGACCAAAAAATTAGATGTTCGAATCCTCACATTGCATATTGTTGAAATAAAAAAAACGTTATTGCTTGTTTTAAGATTATGCTTTTAGTTTGCTCCAAGTTTTAGAGGTCATTAAGAATTTTTTAATAGGCGAGGGAGAGGGTCTCAACTAGTTAAGGGGGATATTATGTCGTGTCTAAGCTTTGTTACAAGGGTGGGTTGGGCTTTGGAAACTTGATTAAAAGAAATGTCACTTCAACGAAGTAGCTTTAGTTGTTCCCTCCCTAGAATTGGATACTTCATCATAAGATTATCGAGTAGATGGAACATTTCTTCTTTTGTGAACTAGAACTCTCAGGAGTCTCTGGAAAGTCATTTCTCATTTAAAAAACTTCATCAAGTTCTCCTTTGGAGATGTGCCTTGTTTTTAATTTTGGGAAGATCATTGAATTGTAGTGAAGCCCTCTATAGCCCTTTTCCTTTACCTTAGAAGCCTTTCTTTGCAGAAAGATTCCTTTCTTAATTCTGTCGGGTCGTGGAATGACAACCTTCCTTCCCTTTCTCATAACTTCCATTTTTTAAGATACTTTCGACCTTAAGTTCACATACTATTCTTCATTATTATTGTTGCATGGTACCCACCTCTCTCCAAATTTTGGTGACATTATACTTGAAACGTTGAGGGACTTGTAAATCTTTTATGCATGATTGATTGCTCATCTCTCCTTTCTTTGCCAAACTTCTAAGTTCTTATGAAGTAATTTTTTTCTCCTGGCTGGTTTCCTCGAGAAACGTCAAAACCATGGATTTTATTTAAATATCTTTGTCTCTTTTAGGCCTCAAATGTTGTGCTTTGTATTAGGGAATATTAGAAGATCTAAATCATATTTTGTGCAGATGTTATTTTGCTTGGAGAATTTGTTATAAGATTTCTTGAGATTTTGGTGTTAATTTTTCCTCTAGAAATGGTTGTTGGGGTATAGTACATGAAGTTCTTCTTTACCCTCTTAACAATTGAGTGCATTTTATGTCTCTGGTGTTGTTTTTTGTGATCTCAAATTTAGAAACAAAAAAAAAAAAAAAAAAAAAAAAAAAAAAAAAAAAAAAAAAAAAAAAA